CTTCAAATCTGCCAAACAACTATTTTGGGTATGAAAGGAACCAGGACTTCATTTAACAGACGAGCCACTAGACGAATAACGAGAATGTTCTACCGAGGACTCATTTGACTTAACGAAAATTCAATATATCTAATTGATCCCAGCATATAACAACCTATTCAGTTAGCAAGTGAACTTGTATAAACCGAATCGGGGAGAACAAGGTCGATGAATAGGAATCCTGCAATGAGTGAAAGGAACCCATGAGATAACGACATGGCGAAACATCCCAGACATTTATGAGATTACGATATGACTGAGCAATACGAAAGACACAGGGTTACGAATTCATAAACTTTGTGTGCAAAGACTTACAGGGCAAAATTTACCAAATTGGCTATCAGTAGTAAGATCATTCTTTCCAAATACATCGGTCGTAAACAATGAATTCCATCCGATTGAATGAGTGAATACAAACGTCGGGGAAGGCATAGATCTGCGAGAAACATCAGAAGCGATAAAGCGGGTATTTGTACCTAGCAAATGTGTGTTGGTGCTGAAAAAGAACTTCCGAATTTGTGCAGAACATGCACTGAATTGATTGGCATTGAACGATTCCTCGCTTCCTACGAAACGTATGCAAACAACATTTCCAACTATGATAACCCTGCGACAACAATATCCTCATCCCGAGCTACAAGTACTCAAGACTAAAATCCACATACTGAAGTTTTTCGCGATTTAAGAGTCCAGATAGTTAAAGGCTAATATTATACTAATTATTATTTCTTCTTCTTAATATTATTAGAGTTTAGTGTTACAGTAAATATGAAAAAGCTGTTGCTTCCCTTGTCCCATACGACTTTTAGCATGAATGAATCAGGACAGAGAGATGAAAAACATCCCATAATCTGAAGCTTAATAAATATCACACGGTTTCACTGCTTCTGAGTTGTTTGCAATTTCTTCGATATTGAGATGCTAGACAAACCAATGATAAGTTTACAATTAGCTGCGAGTTAAAGGTGGATTCACACAGGCTCTGCTTCAAAGCAACAACCGTGGATGCCCAGGTAAGGCAAAAAATTCCAAGTAGGGCACGCTGAGAGCAAAGAAATGACGCAAGCATTCCAGCGGGAATGGCAGAGTGAACTTAGGGAGACAACATGAGCAACGGACGACACCGAGAGCTGGGGTTCTACAGTATATTTGCCCCACTAACACCAGTTCACCGAAAATTCGACGATAGTGAGTGCAGTATGAACCGGATAACTGCAGCCTTTCCAAAGGGTATTGGAATAGCCCCATGCCAACCTTGATGAACCTTCTGTGTGGGCATTTCCAAACCTTGTGGTTGCGTTCCAGCCATAGGCTTGAATGACGTAGTCAATTTGTGAGCGAAAGTGCACTGACAAGATCGTTCGTCGAAATTTGCCAAAGATACGCTTGAGTAGACCAATGTGACTTAGAGCAACGAATGACCACAGGGATCACTTAGCCGAGCAATCGAGGTCGTCTTGAACGATGATAATCATAATCATCGTAATCTANTGGTAATATGTGACGTGGACGGGAATGGGACCTTTTTGAGGGAGGGAGAAGAAGCAGAACCTCTAACGTCAACACAGAGTACAAAATCTAACTTTGCATACATCTATTTACAAGCATTCTGGCCTGATAAGAAATGACAACAAGAACGCCTCTGCAGTCGGTTCGCAACCATAGCCTTTATTGTCTCCAACCAGCTAGTTGTAAAGTATTTTGGACCCCAAAAGGGGAGGCATGAGACATACTCTACCTAATCGCTGTGCATTTCTTCATGTCTCGTCTCCACGTTATGTGTTAGACAAGCTTTCTGATCCACCTGCATCAGAGTCCTCACGATGAAGGTCCCAGGATTCAGTGATTGACGAGACTTCAGAATACGTAAATTATTTAGTGGTAAACTATTTACAGTGCTCTTTGGCAACAACCTCTGGTGAGCGACAACCGAGCTGCTTGAGTAATTATTACAGGCCGGAAGAAGGGGAAACGGGAGAGGATTGGGTA